TGTGTGGGAGAGCTATATCCCAGTTGGATTAAATTTCCAGATCATTGTATTATTCTGGGTTAATGATGTGACCTTTCAGTGAGATTTAGATTATGAATGAGATATTACTGCTGTTAGTAAAGTCCTTTTCATTATTTTTGCGACTAATGTCATATCATTCTGCTATCTTTATTTCTGTTATTCTCAACTGCAAATGCTACTGTTTTTATTATAATGAATTCCACTATTATCGCTACAGCTATGAAGATCGCATTTTACATTTTTAATGTTGCTCAAAGTGCAACTATACTATTATTATCATTATCTTTCTTTTCCTTTTTCTTCCTGTTAATATTATTCCCATTCTTATCATCATCATTATCATTTTTATTGTCCCTATCATTATCATCTGATTGTAATTATTATTATTATATCATCATGATGACCTTTATCATTATCATTATTTTTATATTATTATCATTTTCATTACCATCGCTCTTTTCATTCACATTATCATTCTTATTATCATTATTATTACAATCATATCATCACTATCATTACTTTCGCCATGGTTACAATTATCATTATTGCAGTCACTACTATTACTATGAACGAAATCACAGTTCAAGTATACCACTATTTTACCTTTTTTTTCTCTTTTTTTTTTTTTTTTTTTTACTCTTCAACTTTACGTACTTGATATCATGCACAAGGCGTTCCATGCGTGACTCCTGACCATTCTGCCAATCTGTTTTTGCTAATGTCTTTAACATGAATAATTAAATGTGAATTCCCTACTTAATGTTTATCCTCATAAAGAAAAGAAAAAAAAAGAGAAAATAATTCTCAGAAATATATTTTAGTTTCTACGTCGTTGATAATTTTTTTTTTAACACTGTGATGAATAAGTGCGATTTATGTCCATTAAGGAAATGTGTTTTTTAGTGTTTCGCTTTAAATCGATCGCAGTAACTGAATAAAATTAACAAATAAATAACTAATGGATAGATATGTATATACATACACGCAAGCGCGCACACGCACACGCAACACACACACACACACACACACACACACACACACACACATATACGTATATATGAATAAATATATAAATAAACACACAGCTCTATTATTTCCAATTTGCTTTCTATATATCACTTTATTGACTTCACATTAAACATGGCAATAATGATGGTAATCTTTATTGCTCAACGTAATGTCTTAATAGAATAATGGCGCTGTCGAAAAGGAATGATAATTATGAAAAGATTAATTGTAATAACAGGTATATAGTATATGTTTTCAGAAGTATTACGATAATTTTTTTTTTTTTTCATTATCTCTTTCGCTTTCTTCTTTATTACTATCCTCATCATCATTATCCTCATAATTCTTGCAATCATTTATGTTATCAGTACAGTATTATTATTATCAATACCATTATAACCATTATAACGAGATGGATTATGATGAATAAAGAATAAAACACACACACACACACACACACACACACACACACACACACACACACACACACACACACACACACACACACACACACACACACATTCTTGCACTATAACATCATTTGTGTTCATGGCGGAGAAATGACAGTCGAGAACATAATTTGCTTCACTGGTCATTGCTCTCTCGAAAGAATACGATATTGATCTTAGATGAGCAAGTAAGAAATATCTTTTTTGGAAAAGGAATAAACATAAATGTAAAAAAGAAAAGAAAAAAAGAACATGAAGCAAAAATGTAATCCAACAAATGCATAATCGAAGGTATAAAAAAAAAACGAAAAAAATGACGAAGATGCGCATGTCCCGCGTTCCTTCACAATATTCCGTCCGACCGTTGTTCTCAAGTGATTTAATTCCGGGTTGTGTCGTTGAGAAGCTCCATTAGCGTTATTAGACTCTGTGCTGACAACGTGAGTCGGGAAGGACCGGTAATTTTGCGTAATAAGAGCATGAAATTCCGTGAATTACCCGTGAACGAGAGGGCGGAGACCATGGTAAATATACGGGGTAATTACACTCTCTCTATTGGGCTTTACACAACCCTGTGGTTCTCGTTTTCAACAACATAGGTAGGAAATAATGATAACAAATGCGATGAAACGATAATGACGGTTATATATAAAGAAAAAAACATAATGATATTAATGATAAAGATGATGAAGATAATGACGAGTCATAAATTATACAGGAAATTACGCATTACTTGTTTTGCTCGACGTTTACATACAACGTGTGTAAATAGGGGCTTCGAGGTAATGACTTGTGCGTTAAAGGTTAGGCATAACCTAATTACATATAAGGACCCGGAAGATATATTACCCACAATATAAAGAAGGAAAAAGAAAAGAAAAGTGATTACTAAAAACACTAGAAAAAAACAAAGTAACTTTGACAGGAACAATAACAATAAACAATGCCACTAATAACAGTGATAAAACACAGCCTTCAACACTCACTCAAACGAGTTACGAATGCCTGTTCTTATGTGTTTGTTCCTCGCTTTGATGTGCATGGCCACTAAACACGAAGATAAGAGAAAAAAGAGAGAGAAAAAAAAAGATGTTGAAATGTACGATGTTAATTTCCTGCTTGTAAACTTCCCCTGCCTTGTTAACACGCGTGGCAAGTGTTAATTATCACCATGCAGCTGCCGAGGTCTAGCTGCATCCTGCCATCCATCTTTTGGTGCATTCATAACGGAAGATTGGTGACCTGCACGTTAAGTTTCTGCTTCATTGCGCTTGGAGTTGCGTTACATGTTAGAAATTAAATTCTGAAACCTTACATGTTGTGCGGGGAAGTTTTTTTTTTTTTTTGTATGAAATGAAGGTTAAATGTGATTAGCAATTTGGTTAATCCTTGAATGTAGCTTTTTGATGTAACACGAACGAGAAAATGTTACTTGAAATATTGTCTCTCCCTCGATAGCAAAATTTTCAGACCATGTTGAGGTAATCATGTAATTGAATTAGTTCATATTTTCAGTGCCCGCGTTCTTTAAATCCTCAATAATGGTGGATTATTGGAAAAAAAAATGAACGCGACACGAAAAGGGCTTGGTTCTATATGATTCAGCGATGAGCCAATTACTAGTTAATGGTTATTATAGAACGGTGCAATCTTGTTAATGCATATTATTCTTTTCTAATCGTGTACCACAAGGAAAAAAAAAACATTAATGCTATCAATTCATCCCGTAAATGACAAAAAATATATATAACATGTGCTAGAGAAAACAAAACATTAACTATCCGTTTTATAAGAAATCGTAAAGAAACAAAATAACTATATTGAGACCATCACCGCAAAAAGAGATATCCACCGAACAGGTCGATCTCCCCAAACTTTGGCAATAGCTTTTGAGAGTTATTGACGTGAATAAGCGTTTCAAATGCATACCTTCTAAAGCGTCGTACGTCACTATGAACGATGGAGAAGTACGACCTTTTCACGTGCCAACGCCACATGGAATATCCTCCGAACAATATAAGCCTGCAGTCGAATTCCCTTCTCTTTACACATGGGTATTACACGCCATTACATTAGACACCCGGGCACCTTTTACACACTCGGTCCCTCTTGTTTACAACGGGTCATCACGCATGGAGCCACGTCATCGCAAATGTACGTGTAGGCTTCGACCCTAAAAGCCTATTAATGTGAAATTCTGGTCGGGCTGGACTTTATGTATAATAAAAACAAATATGGTATGCCAGAACTATGCAATTGGAAACCAAAAATAACAATCACGTACACAAATAAACATTGGTGAACACATATAAGTGAAATACGCGAACAGAAAATATCCATAAAATAGCATGACATCTATCAAGCACGATTTGGACCTCGAAAGGATGAATTCTATCTATCTCTATCTATCTAGCTATCTGTTTATTTATATATGTATTTTATATATATATATACATATACATATTTACACACAGACACACACACACACACACACACACACACACACACACACACACACACACACACACACACACACACACACACACACACACACACACACACACGTATATAGATAGATAGATATAGATATTGATAAATCTGTGTGTATGTGTGTATTTATATATATATATATATATATATATATATATATATATATATATATATATATATAAATACAGACAGACAGACAGACCGACACATATACATAAATATATATACATACATACATATATATATATATATATATATATATATATATATATATATATATATATATATATATATATATATACGTATATATATATATATATATATATATATATATATATATATATATATATATATATATATATATATATGTACATATATCTACCGTGTTGATAATATGGTACAAAAACCCACAATGTAAAACTAGATTTATTGAAAGTGAAACAATAGACCTGAGGAGGGAATCCAGGGATTCCGAAACTGTTGTCTCATCTTCAATAAATCTAGTTTTAGATTGTGGGTTTTTGTACCATATATATATCTTCTATATCATATCATACACACACACACACACACACACACACACACACATATATATATATATATATATATATATATATATATATATATATGTGTGTGTGTGTGTGTGTGTGTGTGTGTGTGTGTGTGTGTGTGTGTGTGTATACATACACACACACATGTGTATGTATACATACATATATACATATATACATATATATGTATATATACACACTGTATCATTTACATATACAGTGTGTATATATACATACATGTGGGTGTATATATAAATATATATATATATATATATATATATATATATATATATATATATATATATATGTATATATATATATATATATATATATATATACATATATACATATACACCGTTTTTGAGTTTCCCCTTCCTTCCTTCCTTCCTAATCCTTTCCCTACCCCCCTCCCACCTTACCCCCCACCCCCCACGAAAAAGAACAAGAGGACGAAAAAGACAATATAAAAAAAAATACTCACTGACAACCCGGAGGTTAAAGAGCTGGCTCATCTTGGGCTCCGTCGACACTTGGCACTCGTACTGTCCGGCGTCCCTCTCTTGCACATACTTGATCACCAGGTTCCAGGTCTCCAGCTCGGCCGAGTAGTGGGACTCGAACCTCTCGTCTCCCACGAAGGTGTACCGATCTACCGTCAGAATGTCTGCGTCTCTCATCCGTACCCAGGATACCTATAGGGGGAAAAAAAAGGAGTGGTATGAGTCTTTAATTAAGATGGGTAAGGGGTATCTGGAGGGGATGGGATGGGGGGGTTGTGGTAGGGGAGGGGGGAGGGGTGATGGTGGATAGGGAAATGGTGGGGAGAGGGGAAGGGGGAGGGGATGTATTTTGGATACGTCTATGAAAAGTTTTTTTTTCTTTTTTGGAAGACGCTGCAGCAAGGGAGTTGGATTTTTATCTTTTTTGTGTGTATGGGGTAAGCATTTCATTAATCAAATATTTACAAATTTTATTGATTTATTTATCAATTTGATCCACTATTTTACCCCCCCTCCCCCCCGACAGAATAATGTAGGATAAAAAGACATGTGGGAGCAGAGAGAATCTAATTTCTAATTTGAATGCAACGGCGGTATACAACGACCGCTTCCGACATCGAAGACTAATTCACGAGCAGAAGAAAATGTAATGATCCTGAAACCCTGATATGAATTTACCAATACCCGGAACTAAATGGAATTGCATTATCATTTCCAACATCATGAAAATGCATCACTGTTCCGAACCGAACGTAAAATTGAGGAAATTCATTCTCTGAAAGCCTAACTGACGTACACGCAAAATCACGAAAAATGGAAGTGACCAAATTCTAGTGGACACATTTTGACCGAAAAATATGCATAGGCTTGTGTTCCATTTGGGTATATGTATTGCATGGATATATACTAATTAGGATGTGAAGTCATATATATTTCTATAGACCTGTAAGCTGTCTAAAAAAAAAAGGTTAGTGGCACGTAAACATTAATCAAGACGAACAAAGATTTTCCAAAAAGAGAGAGAGTGAGAGAAAGAGAGAGAGAGAGAGAGAGAGAGAGAGAAAGAACGCGAGAGAGAGAGAGAAAAAGAGACAGACAGACAGAGACAGAGACAAAGAAACAGACAGGAAGAGACACAGAGACAGTTAGAGACGATTCAAACGAAACTCATAAAACAGCCTTAAAAACAAAAGTCGCAATAAGAGAGAACTGCTCAAGTCACGTGCCACTTAATAGATTACGTGAGACCCACCGCCTCGAGTGGAGAAGCGAAAGAGACTATATGAGGAGAATAAAACAAGGAGAGACTAAGAGAACAGGATAAACAAGAAATACAAAATCCGGTGGTAAACGGCACGATCACGCAAGCACGTCATGACAGGGTTAATTAGTGGATCTCATGACTTCTAATGACCAACATCTGGGTAATCAACGTTCCCGACTGACCTCTAAGGATGGGGCCGGGGGGAGGGGGGGTAGGGGGAGACACGCCCCCACAAAAGAGGTTCAAATTAGCACCGTGATGCGTCGCGGTAAATGATGCGTTATGCAGGGAATGCTCTTTGTTTCTCTCTGTCTCTGTTTGTTTCTCTTTCTTTGTCCTTCTGTTTCTCTTTTTATTTTTATTTTTTTCTGTCTCTCTTTCTTTCTTTCTTTCTCTCTCTCTCTCTCTCTCTCTCTCTCTCTCTTCATCTCTCTTCTCTTCTCTCTCTCTCTCTCTCTCTCTCTCTCTCTCTCTCTCTCTCTCTCTCTCTCTCTCTCTCTCTCTCATTCAGGATCTCACTATCATCATTCCTTCTCTCTCACTCCCCCCCCCCTTCCTTTCCTTCCTTTCTCCCTCTGTCTCTCTAACTAACTATTTCCTCACCCCTCGCCTCTGTGCGTTTCCCCATGTTCTCTCCTCTCTTTTCTCTCCTCCTTTTCCATTTCTATATGGATTTCCCGAAGACCTTAAAACCCACCCTTCTGTCCCAATTCCATTTCACCTGAAGGGAAGAATTTCATTTTCTCCTGCCGGCGACGCCCCCCATCCCCTCTTCCGTCTCGGGCTTTATCGCACGCGGTCACCCTGCTCGCGAGGCCGTGAGGGAAGGGGCAGGGGACAGGGGGCAGGGGAGAGGGGAGAGGGGAGAGGGGACAGGGGAGAGGGGGCAGGGAGGAAGGGGACGGGGGAGTGGGGACAGGGGAAAGAGAGGGGGCAGGGGAGAGGGACCAGGGGGCAAGGAGAAGGGGGCAGGGAGGAAGGGGACGGGGAGAAGGGAGCAGGGGGCAGGGGGTAGGGGTAGGCATCAGGAGACAAGGGAGAGGGGGCAGGGGACAGGGGGCAGGGGGCAAGGGACAGGTGGCACAGAGCAGGGGACAGGGGGCGGGGGGCAGGAAGGAAAAGGAGTCAGCATATCTTAAGGATCTTTTGGGTGCAGGTATACAGATCATTTTGTTTATGTTTTACGCCCAGGTAAGCCCAACCTATCTCGAGGGTTG